GTCAGTTGATAAATATATTGAGCAGAAGTACTTCTTGTGCAAGGAGACATTATGCATTCAACACCCAAGAAAAATAAAAAAGAACCCTAATAAATCATAGCTCAGCAGCCTCCTCTTTCAGAAGTCTGAAGACCATATAGCAACTACTTTCCAAAATCTTCCAAGTATTTTAAATACTCGGCTTTCCTACCACCTTTTACACATACAGACTTCTGAGAGACATCAATTTGATGAATGGACCACTCGGTGGATAAAGAACTGGCTGGAGGGCCGCACACAAAGAGTTGTGGTCAATGGCTCAATGTCCGGCTGGAGACCAGTTACAAGTGGTGTCCCTCAGGGATCGGTGTTGGGACCGGTCTTGTTCAACATCTTTGTCAGTGACATGGACAGTGGGATTGAGCACGCCCTCAGCAAGTTTGCCGATGACACCAAGCTGTGTGGATCGGTTGAAACGCTGGAGGGACAGAGTGCCATCCAGAGGGACCTTGACACGCTTGTGAGGTGGGCTGATGCCAACCTCATGAAGTTTAACCATGCCAAGTGCAAGGTCCTACAGCTGGGTTGGAGCAATCCCAGGCACAGCTACAGGCTGGGCAGAGAAGAGATTCAGAGCAGCCCTGTGGAGAAGGACTTGGGGGTGCTGGTCGATGAGAAAATGAACATGAGCCAGCTTCAGTGTGCGCTTGCAGCCCAGAAAGCCAACCGTATCCTGGGCTGCATCAAAAGGAGCGTGACCAGCAGGTTGAAGGAGGTGATCCTGCCCCTCTACTCTGCTCTTGTGAGACCTCACTTGGAGTATTGTGTGCAGTTCTGGTGTCCTCAACATAAAAAGGACATGAAACTGTTGGAACAAGTCCAGAGGAGGGTCACGAGGATGATCAGGGGACTGGAGCACCTCCCATATGAAGATTGGCTGAGAAAGTTGGGGCTGCTCAGCCTGGAGAAGAAAAGGCTGCATGGCGACCTCATAGCAGCCTTCCAGTATCTGAAAGGGGCCTATAGGGGTGCTGGGGAGGGACTCTTCATTAGGGACTGTAGTGATAGGACAAGGGTTAATGGGTTCAAACTTAAACAGGGGAAGTTTAGATTGGATATAAGGAGGAAATTCTTTCCTGTTAGGGTGGTGAGGCACTGGAATAGGTTGTCCAGGGAGGTTGTGAATGATTCATCCCTGTTCAAGGCCAGGTTGGATGAGGGCTTGGGTAATATGGTTTAGTGTGAGGTGTCCCTGCCCATGGCAGGGGGGTTGCAACTTGATGATTTTAAAGTCCTTTCCAACCCTAACTATTCTATGATTCTATGATATTGTACAGAAAGTAAGACAATTTATTAAAAAAAAATTATCAAATTTTATTTCCTAACTCAACAGCACCATCTCAAACTATAGCTAACCATTAACAATTAGCTAATGCAGAATAAACGTGCATGAGATCTGCCTCACCCCGAGATCTCAATAGAATAAGCTCAAAATACATCATGTGAAAGGATCCTCCAGCTGCCTTCCTCCCAAGAAGCCTCTTACTGCTCTTTCTTCCATAACTTTTCAGATATTTAAGCTTGGTTATTGTCACAGGCCACCTGAATATTAGTAAGGCTCTCATCACTGCAACCCTTGTTCTCTCTTTTCCCTGCACTGCTACCAGCCACCATGTCTCCCCTTGTTACTTCAAAGCACTACTACCGGAATCATCTTATTCATTGTCAACTTCTTCACAATCCTTCCTTAGCATTCTTATTCTCCTCTAGCTTCTCAAATGTAATTAAGGTAGTGCCTCCAATATTTAGCCCTACTGTATCTATCAGTTCTAGTTTTTAGCCATATGTTCATCTTTGTTCATCTATGAAAGCAGCCTCAGCTTATCCCTCCTCCTTCCACCATATTGTGGATAGTAAACACCTGAAAGGCAAGTACATGACCAGCCACCACTACTGCTCCTGAGTGACAAGGAACCAACTTGTCACTCTCCTCCTCACTCACCAGCTGTCACCTTCCAGTTGTATCTTGTTTTTCAGAGAGCTGCAACTTTCTTTAGGCTTTAGAGTATTTTGCATAACAATAGTTCTAGCTTCATTGTCCCGCACTGCTACTAACTACTGTGTTAAGTCTTAAGTAATAACAGGCCATGTGAGGTAGTTTCTTGAATATATGTCCTGGTGCTGCTGAAGCAGCCTCTGTTATAGAAGATGAAGATGTGAGAAGTTAACATCTGAGACCAGGCTTATCATCCCCCGCATCACGACTACACAGCAGACGCACACATAGATGTGACTCCAGTTTATAAAATATCTGATAGTATCATCTTTGAAACTGTGTAAACCAAATGCAGGCATGGTAGGTAATGGAAAAAAATCTGTTTATACGTGTGTGTGTGTGTGTGTGTGTGTGTGTGTATATATATGCATTTCTATTTAGTTAATGTTTCATCTATCTTCATGCAAACCATAATCAATCAGCGTCAGTCCCAGCAGTTCTATTATTTTTATCTCCTAGCATTTCCTAAAAGTGGCTCCTGGTGGCTTGTATAAATAAAACCAGCATTTTACAGGAACAACAGATTTATAACTTTAATAAGACAGCTCTCCTTCCTGCATTACAGTCTACAGTACATGACAAATCACATTAAGCAAGCTGGTATCAAATCTAAAGCCAAACTCACTTTTGAGCCAAACCTTAAATCTCCAAAGAGCTTCAAGTTTATTTTCAAGATGTTACATTATTGATAAGGAAAATCAATTCTTTTTATAGCTCAGGCAATGAACACAGATATGGTATATGCAACAATAGCTAGAGTAGCTTTTCTATTAACTTCACAGCCTTTAGAATTAAATTACCTGCCTTTTATTCTTTAGAATCCAGATAAAACAGTCACTATGGACAGGTTCATAACTTCTATTAACTTCAGATGAGAATAAAAGATATGTCTGAAAACAGACTGTCAGACAAAAAACACTCAAACCAGCAAACTTCTGTTTATTTATTATAGTATTATTTAACCAATACCATTAAACTTAAGACACTTCAGCAAACAAACTCCAAAGCATTCTGTTCTGACAATAAACAATTTCCCCAAAGGATCTGAAATAATAAAACACAATCCATCCAAAGAGACAACAAAGGTATCTCAAACAATCCTCGGAGAAAGTAAGCAGATGGCAAGGACAGTTCTTCGTGAGCAATAACCTTCATGAAACAAAAAATGTAAGACTATCTATATGCATACTTTTGCTTAGACTTGTAGTTCCACAGAATATCAAGTGATCTCAATCCCAGTGATTCAATTAAGTTTCTACTTCTAGCATTTTCAGAGGATACCCTGGGCACAATAAATGATAAGGTAATATAACCTTCTGTAAAAGCATCCCAACCATTATAGAACAAGATATATAAAAGAAGGAAACAATGTTACAAATCTTTCCTGTTCTAAAGTAGAACAGCCGTAATGAGTAACCAATTATTTATCAGAGAGCAACAACCACCTTCATACCCTATACCAAAAACACCCTAACCATCAGTTTTAGGACTTAACTATGTAATGTGGAGGGTTACTGGCAAAGTCTTTTTGAGTTTCCTGTTGAAGTGTCCAGTTTGGTACATAATACATAAATATCTGGTAATCTACACAAGCAAGAGGCAAACCAAACAAGAATCAGCTGATCTAGGTAGTAACTATGCTTCTCCCATGTATTATTATGCAGAGTAAAACAGTCTTAAGAGAAAAAAATGAACAGCTGTGTGCACACAAACAGGTATGGCTTTTGTCCCTGCGATACCCTACCAGCTAGGACAGGCTCCAAGAATTCTGTGCCAAAAAAACCACAAAACAAACAAACAAAAAACAACAACAAAAAAACAACCAAACATCTGCTCCCAGTTCTCTGAAGAGAGAAAAGGCTGACTTTTCTGTAAGCAGTGTAAAACAGCAATGCCGCAGCTCCCAAAACGTTTCCAAACACCACCATTCAGTAGAAAGAATACAATTCCAATTAGATACTGAACAAGCAAACACACGGGTTTTGATGAATAAAGCATCTCTAAAAATGCCCTACTCAGTTCTAATATGAAAACCATAATATGGGTAAGTAATAAATACCAGGTTTTCAGTCAGCCCCAATTCAAATTTGAGATAAAATAGACAGGAAAACTATTTAAAAAACATGGGGGGGGGTGGGGTGGGGGGTGTATCAAAGTATGGTGAAATTAATTTCTTCATTCTAAATAACTCTAAGCTCTGATTTCCATGGTACTGATTCCGATTTAGTTAAACAAGATAGGTACTGTGGAAGGAGGCTTACCTAAGTGCTTTAGAAAGAGCTCATACGTCTAAGCAAAACACAGCCGTTTGCAAAAGGTAAATAACATGTTATTTTTCCTTCTCCTTCTTACCGAACTGTTGCTGCCTCCCTGCCCACCGAGCCCTACAGCTTTACACCGCACATTACCCCCTGCCCTCAGGCGGCGCCGGGAGCCGCCGCGCTAGCACCGGCGGTACCGAAGCCCCGAAGCCCCCTCCCTGCACGCCTGACTCGGGTGCCCGTCCTCTAGCAACACCCCATCCGGCGCAGGACAGCCAGAACACACACAAAGCACCACAGCAGCGCCACGGCGCCGCACGCCTCCCCCGTTCTGCGGGTGAGCTGACGGGGCCGGGGCCGGGGCCGGGCCCAGGGCAGAGCACAGCACACGGGAGCGCGCAGCCCTGACCGCCAACAAGACAACCGAACCGCCACCGCTCGTCCCACCAGCCCCAAAGGTAACGGCTTTAGCGCCCGCACTGCGCACGCGCAGTGCCGCCCGTTTCCCACGCGCGCGCGCAGTGCCGCCCGTTTCCCACGCGCGCAGGCGGAAGTCAGGGTTGCGGTCTGCCCCCCGTGTCGGCGTACCGCGCGACCTCTCGCGCTCGCCACGCGGGGTCTGTGCGCGCCCCCGCCGCCGGTGCGGCTCGCTGCGGGAGGGGCATGGCGGCGGGGCGGCTGGGCCTGGGAGCGGCGCTGGGCCTGGGAGCGGCGCTGGGCACGGCGCTGGGCACGGCGCTGCTGGCGAGGCTGGGCCTGGTGCTGTACGGGCTACACCAGGACGGCGCCATGCGTGTGCGGTACACCGACGTCGACTACCGGGTGTTCACCGACGCGGCGCGGCTGGTGACTGAGGGGCGGTCGCCCTACGGACGGGCCACCTACCGCTACACCCCGCTGCTGGCCTGGGTCCTGACGCCCAACATCTACTTCGCCGAGGTCTTCGGGAAGCTGCTCTTCGTGGCGGCGGACCTGGCGGTTGCTGTCATCGCCTACTGGGCTCTGCGGCGCCGGGGAACCACCGCCGGCCAGGCCTGTGGGTGCTGCGCCGCCGCCTGGCTCTTCAATCCGCTGCCCATGGCCATCTCCAGCCGGGGCAACGCGGAGGCCCTGGTGGCACTACTGGTGCTCGCCACGCTGTATTTGGTGGAGGGCGGCAGCGTAGGGAAGGCCGCGGTCTGCTATGGGCTGGCTGTGCACATGAAAATATACCCGCTGACCTACGCGCTGCCCATAGCGCTCCGCCTGCAGAGTAAAGCGTGTGGTGGGAACCCAAAGTTTCCATTAATAGGGTACCCCTGGCGGCTTTTGAACCGCGATGTGCTGCTTTTTGGTGCAGTTGCTGGATCTGTACTGGCTGCCTTGACTGTTGTGTTTTACCACCTCTATGGCTGGGAGTTTTTGGAGCATGCCTACCTCTACCACCTGACCAGGAGGGATATCCGTCATAACTTCTCTCCCTACTTCTACATGCTGTACTTAACTGCAGAGAGCAAATGGAGTTTTGCCCTTGGGCTTGCAGCTTTCCTGCCTCAGCTGCTTTTGCTCCTGGTTGTGTCCATAGCATTTTACAGAGATCTTGCCTTCTGTTGTTTCCTTCACACTGCAGTTTTTGTGACTTTCAACAAAGTGTGCACATCCCAGTACTTTGTCTGGTATCTCTGCCTTTTGCCCCTCATAATGCCTAGTGTTAAGATGTCCTGGCATCGTAGTGTGCTGCTTCTCTTCCTGTGGCTTGTTGGACAAGGCCTGTGGCTTGCTCCTGCGTATTTTCTGGAGTTCAAAGGCTATAACACTTTTTTACTTATATGGTTGGCAGGCTTACTTTTCCTTCTTATTAATAGCTTCATAATTGTTCAGATTATTTCACATTACCAAAAAGAAGCACACATTGAAAAGAAACTCAAACAGCGGTAATGGGCCAAAATCTAGAAACAGCTATACTGGCCTTGATAAGGCTTTTCATACCACCAGCACTGTTTAATATCAATGTGTGTACATTGTACTAAAACATGCTGTATGTAAGTGATACTGTATCGGGGCACTGATTGGTCTTAATTGCCCTGAGCAGCCCCCGTCCTCCCCTGAGCAGTGGCTGCAGGGATACCTGTCTCTCCTGTGGACCTTTAAACTACATTGTAACCTCTCCAGCACTGTCTTCAGCCCTGTTTCCTGCTGCTCCTGACAGGACTCACTGGAAGGACCCTGGACCAGTTCATTACTTACCCATATGGCTGAGGCTGTGGGTGGACTCTGTTACCAGCACCTGTCTTCATCTGCCATCTCCAGACACAGTGTGACGGTGCCCTGGCTAGTGAGGGTATGGCATGTGATGAGGTCACTGCGGCTCCTGCTTGTACCTCCTCATGGGACAAACCCAGTCTTCTTACTCCCTGGCACACGTTTTCACATTGTTACTTTGCTTGTTGAGGACTGTGACCTCTGTCTAGGAAAACACAGAAGACTGTCAAACTTCAACGTCCCCTTACAGTCTTGTACATTCCAGTAAGTCAGTGGGGCATTCTACAAGGGTTAAGCTAATGAATTAATATAAGGCAATCACTGAATATGTACGCTGGGTTTTATGTTTTCTTTTCAGAGTAACATTTTAGCTATACAATGTTTGTGGCCTGTAACTGGTGTTTTTTCAGTGAAGTAGGAAAGAAAGTGGTTGTTTCATACAAATCATTAACTCCTTGAAACCTTTATTGCTTGGATTTTTTTAACAGATTTGTTCCCCTTGCCATAGAGCAGATTTTTCCAAATACCTGTCTTAGATCACAGAGATATATAAAGCAAAAATAGTTATGTTCCTTTCTGCCAAGATCTAGAAAATAGGCCACTGCCTTGTTTCTTTGGGCAAGTCTTGCAGATGGGGCACTGATTTCCTTCTGGATTTTGTGAAGGAAGAAGGGCTTCTAACACCAGTTTGTTTGCATCTTCCACAAGATGTTTATCAGTCTAAAGACTATTGGCAGAGCTTGCTTCCACACACAGTTTAGTGTGTAGTTTTATATTGATCATTAAAACATTTTGTATGTGTTATCAAGGTGTCAAGAGAAAGTGACCCATGTGGGACATATATTTTCCCATATAGAGTTTACCATGCCCAGTTAGTGTTTCACCAGAAGACTGAAGAGGCTCATCTGTGCCGATACCTCTACCCCATCCCAACATGCAGCCCATAGCTTGTTTTCCCTCACAAGTGATCTTCTATTACCCATTATATATTCTTGTGTTGCAGAGAGCATATTTTCTTTCTCCAAAGCAGATTAATACCCCTTTAACAGACCTACTTATGCCATTTGCAGACCTTCCCAGTTCCCCATTTTTTACTTCTGTCAGGAAAGAAACCACATGAAGCCAAAAGGCATTTCCAGCCTTATAAACCTAAAAAAAATAAATAAGGTGGCATTTTGAGTTAGTCTGTCCGTGACAGAATTGTTACGGGTTTTAGGTAACAAATAATTTCCTATGACAAATTCATTCTCAAATCATTAGTAGTAGCTAAAAGCTAAATCTTTTTGAGGCCTTCAGAAGGCAAGTTCTTTAGCAACAGGGGCTGTAGAGCACCTTCCATTTGCAGGTCAATGCCTGCCCTTTAGCAATGATTTGAGAAAATCATGCATAAATAAGTTATAAAAAGGTTTCTATGTAAACTTAGATTTACAGTCATCAATTTAATAATCCAGTATGAGTCCCTCTTTTCACTGTTGTTTTGTGAGCTAGTCATTCAGGTATGCTTGGGATTTAGAAATAATTCAGTGACTCATAAAAAAGCTGGATGAAAGAAATGAGCAAAGATGACAAAAATTTGTAGTTTTTTTAATGGTGTAAGTCAATAGTATCTTGTTTCAGCAGAATTCTTCATGACTCTCTGGCACCTGCTGAGGGAGGCATGGGCTGCACAAGCAAAAGTTGCTTATTGGAGGGATTCTTACATAATGCCTAGATAAAGCTTTAGTTTCAGCCTCTTATTCATAGAGCATAACTTTGAGCCTTTAGCTTTCTCTTCAAATAAAACATTATATAGCTTGCACTTAAAGAAATGATTGGTAAGAGATCCTCGCTACTTCCTGTGGAAGTTGATGGGGAAGCAAGCTAGAACATCTGTGGAAGAAGTATTTGAATGGAATGTCTGTATCTGATTATACATGAAGACAACTCCAGCCTTGGAAAGGAACTGTAATGAAGGCAAACTAAGCAGTGAGCCCATACTATGAAACCTGTATTATTTATGTGAAGGGTATTTTATCAAGTGTGCTTTCCCTTTTACAGGAAGAAAATGGAATCTTGGTAGCAGTTGTCAAGTTGAATGAATATGACCTTGCTTTCTTCACATTATTGTAAGGGCATCTATGGGTTCTTACATCATACAGTAACACTTGTGGAGTTCTACAGGTGTGACCTATATAAGCTGTTAATGGGAAACACTGTTGGTATAGCAAGAGAATATTAGTTAGCAGTCACTCTGACACTGCTTTTTGAAGGTTAACTCAAGTAAAATCTGATTTCTGCACAAGTCAGCAGCTGTGTTAATAGAGATGGTACTGTTTGACAGTAATTTGCCAAGTAGAGCTGCACTCTGTGGTTCACATGCTTCCACTCTGTGCAAAAGAACATTAATTCAAATCCCTTGGTGATCTGGCAGTTGACATTTTTTTAACCTATCCTGTGTCCCTCCCAGTGATCCAGTAGATTGAATTAGCCAGGAAGCAGGATTAGAAAATGAAGTGCAAAACAGAGAATGTTTATCTTTCCTTTATTTTTTCATATTGTATAATGTGAATATGTTGAAAAACTAAGACGATTAGGTTTTGGAGAAGTCCCATTTGAGCTAGTGTTAGAGGACTTTGTTAATGTAAGGTATTTTACACAAAAGCACCTGAGTGAAAATTGACTGAATGGGCTACATGGGGTTTTGTGAAATGATAATAAATCTCCTGATAGTTTATGTCAGCACTGTTTTGCCGTATCCTTCTGCATAGCAACAGTATAACAATTAAAAAGTTAACAAAATACAGTTAAATTCTAGTTTCAAGCTTCTCTTATGCAGAGTTTGGGGGACACATAGCTATAAACTCACTGTTGGAGAAAAAATTCTGTATCACACAGCATTAATAATTCATTAATAATTATTTCTTTCCCACAGCTGACATCTTCCTGAAGAAAGTAGCACCTTTTTTTAATACACAGTCTGGAAACTCACATGAGTAACAAATCCTTCTCCACCTTAAAACTGTCAGATTTACTTGAAAATACATTTTAATTACCATTAGCACGTCCAAGTTTAGTGCTGGCAACAGCCAGCTTGTTAATTCCAGCAGTAAAGCATCTGAAGTCATGACCAGTTTTCCTTCATGCTCTAATAAACTGGTTGATTAAGTATAAGAAAGTTTGTTGCTGGAAGTGAAGCAAATGTTTGTTCACTGGAAAGAAATACTGTGTGGCTAGGGCCAAAATGTACATGTGCAAGATGGAGCAAAGTGATCAAGAAACTGAGGCCCTGGAGACCTTGACTATTGTCCTGCCTCTGCCGCTAATTTATCATTAACAAGAGATTTCAGCTTGCGGTGCTGTTTGCCTCTGCCACTTTTGATTGCTTGATGCATTTAAATAACTTCTTCAAGCCAGGATGTGTCTCCTAATCTGTTCCTGTTACACGCCGCCATAAAGTGATTGCAGTCTTGTTTGAAACAGTTACAAGCATAATTGTTAGTAAATTGTAAACACTTAAGGCATTTTGATTTAAAAATACTCAAAATCCTTTTTTTGCATATATTTAAACATTTTCTGTGGGGTATGATGGTTCTCGGGTACATTCCAGCATTCCATTTGGATGAGAGGGTGGACTACTGCTGAAGCTAAATGAAGATCTGGAAGCAGATTAACAGCACTAATGGAAAAAAGCAAGACAATTAAGAAAAATCATTTAGCAAAATTACAGTGTAGTTGATACCACAAGTAAATAAGATTTTATTATTAGTGGTCTGCTTAGATTGCATTGGAAGTTCATATTGAAACTGTATTAGGGAAATTAAACCCCAGACAGCTCTGCATCTGTATAGTTACTGTTGCCTCATATGGGAGAGAGAATGAATAACTTTTCTGTGTATTCATAAAGCATCCTATATGTTATGGTGTCCAAGAAAAAGTTACCAGTCGAACAGCATTGTGAAGGCAAATTACAATTCTGTGTTCAGATACAGGTGAAACAATGAATTTTTTCACCTTGGTCTTTCTCCATAACTTTCATTAAGGTACATGTACTACGAAAGTGAGATCCAACCAGATGTGCTGTGCCAGAAGTTACTGGCAGCAATAAGTTTGCTTCAGTCTTCTAAGCTGCTCAGACAAGTGCATGCTCAATGCTGGAGGCTGTAGGTGGTGGGAACACTCAGGTGCATGCTTCCCCATTGCATGCCCAGAATAGATTTTTCTGTGGTTCTAAAGTCATCCAGATGTTGTCTTAATCTATCTACAATAGCTATATGTATCTCCTCATATATCTATACATGTCTTAAAGACATATATACATATCCTATATAACTATATATATCATCATCTATAATAGTACAACAGCAAATTCAAAGACTTCATGCCCACCCCAATTGGATAAGCATCTCTTTAGGCTATAGGAAGAGTCCCCTTTTGGGTTATATGATCATGTCAGGCCCTTTGCCAGGATGTATCAATAGCTTTAGAGGGGAGGGACAAATTGGCCTCTTGGTAAAATATATAATGGCAACCAGTGTTTGTTACTCTATAACAGCCACGTTGTTACTTTATAATACAGAATTCCAGTTTTTAGCAGGGGATGCAGGCATGACTGCATATGCAAAATGAGAAGCATGCAAATAAATATGACACAGAGGAAAAAGTAATTTTCATTATATTTATTTCATATATAACATAAGGTCTAGAAAGATTAGAGAGTTTAGAATAAAGTGTCAGTAGCGAAAACTGATGTGAAGATTAAACAATAGTTGATCCTTCTGTAAGAAACAACTTTGACACAAGCCCCAGTTCCCTTGTTAAATATGTCTAGAGAAAAAGTTCACACACAAAGTACTTTGTGAATTTCATTGCGCTCAGAAAAATCTTGTGTCAGCTGAAGGCTTGAGGTTTTGGGATTGAGCTCCCTCTGGAAGGAAAGGGTGAAGTGCTCGGCACTTCTATGAAGAGAACTGGGACTTTACAGATTCCTTAGTAGTGGAAATGGTGAACAAATAACCTCCAAATTAGGAGACACAGGGCACTGAGGGTGCTAAGTTATATGGCTATGAGAACAACTGGACAAATACATAGAAGAAAAAATTGTCAAGAGCCATTAAATTCAAAAAGCATCTTCTCTGGTCTTGGGAATTTACCAAGCTGCAAACTTGGTGAACTAGGGAAGTATTTCTGAGGAAATCTCTCCTCCATCTGTCTAGTTTTACTCTTCATCTGTTGCTGGCCACATTTGGAGAAGAGTGGGCCGATCCATGATGGTTGTTTCTACATTGTTAACCACACAACCGTCCCCGCCAGAGCATTCCTATCACCAAGGTTTATTTGGTTATGCTCTTTCACCACATGAAGTTTTATGTCAGCTGACACTGCAGTTCTGGGCCTGTGCAGCTGCTTGCTTATTTATTTTTGGAGAGAGGATGCTACCAGATTGTGACAGTAAACCACAACTGCAACTTGTCGCATTGGCATTTCACAGATGACAGCAGCTGGTAACAGACTGATAGGTGAGAAGGGGAGAAAAGAAAAATCAAAGCTGACAAAATATATCTGTATGATCAAAGAGGGGTGTTTTTAGCTGGCTGGGCAATTAAAAACAGGTAGATTCAGACAGCTTATTAGGCCAGGTTAATTCAAGCATACCAAGGCCCTGGAGCTTGGTTGCCTTCTCTCCCGAAAGTAAACCACAGCCTTCTTACAGGACTTAACATGCTCTCAATGAGATGCAGAAAAGAAAGAAGAGGGGAAAAAAAAAACAGATAAATTTGCACAACTGCAGTCACCTGTACTGATAATGACTTGTGTCCCTGGAAAGATCCAGCTCTAGGCCAAAAATGTCTTTACTAAAGTCTTCTGCTTTAATGACAATTTAGTTCTGGAATGATATGTACTGCCATTTAGAATTAGTAACTGAATTCTGTGGGTTAGGAAAAACAGTGATGGCTGCAGAAAATGTGATCTTTTATCTGAAAATAAACCCTTTCTACAGACCACACCAGTTGTCAGGGTACAAGTCTAAAGTTTGGCTGATTTTGTGTCTAAAACACTAAGTAAAGAGAAATGGGCATCATTCCAGGCATAGCTGGTGATGAGTGGCCTGGGATAACCCATGCTGAGAAATTATTTTCTCTCAGAAATTCTAGGCTGAAAACAGCTGCTGTGTTGGAGAGGCTGGAGGTCTCGTCACACCTGGGCTCATGACAGCTGCCTTTGGTAGGTCCAGGCTCCTCAAAGAGACATTGCCTCCAGGCACTGTGCACATACCTTTGTTGCTTGCTCTCCTTCACTCTGCTATCCCTGGCATGGCACCTGCTGTCCCTGAGGGAAAGTGGCACTCAAGTTTTGGCCTGCTTCTCTCAGGCACCTCCATCAGAGCAGCTGAGCACACCATTGAAATGTGACTTGGGACAAAAGGAATTCTCTTGTGTTTCTAGTATTTTAAATGTCAGGTTGAGGAGAAAGCTCACTAGACATAGAATAGATCCTCTTTCCTCACAACAGGAGCAGAGTTTGTTCTGCACTTCCAAGAACCACCTGTTCCCAGATTCTGCACAAAAAGGTTAGAAGCCCAGCAAGAGACATCAAAGGTAAACACTGTGTCTTACAAGGTGTTTGAAAATGCCTTCTTTAAAGCCAGTAGTTGCCAGTGACATTTACTGCACTTTGTCTCTTTACTTCACTCTCGCATAATTTTGGCTTTGATTACGCCTCTGCAGAAAGAGAAGTGAACTTTTGTTAGAGGCATTATAGACAATTTACAGTACCATATTAAAATATATTTTTGAGGCAGTTCATCAAGCAACAATTCATTTAGCAGTCTAGAAAAATTACAAGTAATTGGATCCTTAGTGTTGATTAGTAGCTGACATTCTGTCTAAAATTAATCCTCAGGATGATACAGGAGGTCTCAGCTGGGAATTTAGCTGCTTGAAATTTGAGTATTATTTGGACCTAAATTAAAGTGTTTTCGCAAAAACTGAGAAACTAATACAATTACATCTTCTTGTCAAGCCAAGGTGTTAGAAGTAATTCAGGTGCTTTGACTGCAGGCCAAATCAAAGCACTTTACAAAGGAATCATGCAGCATTAGTCACTGAACATGCATAGTGTTCGGCAACTTAAAGGTCAAATATATTCATGAGGACATGTAATCTTATGCATGTTTGGCAAATGAATATGAAGAAAGTATCTGTTAGAGGGGGATCAGAATACTGAAAAAAACCCTGTGGCTCACATTCAGATGGGCAGTGTGGATGTTATTCCAATGCCAGATTTCTGCAAGGAAGTTTCAAGAATGCTCGTGAAAACTAAAGGGTATACTTCAGCCTTGAGAATTCAAATAGGTGCTATTGCTGCCATATGGCAGAGCTGCTTTCAAAGCAAATACAGGGTTTTTGCTCTTCTGAAAGACCAGATGGCAAAGAGTTTTGTATCTAGAAGCTGCCTCACCTAGGTCATCAGTAGCAGTCAATTGTATGGGACAAAAAGTAATTTTAATCTGATAGCTTTTCAATGCCTTTATTTCCCAAATAAACAAAATTTTATAGTAAGATCCTCATGATATATTATACTTGTTCTTGTGCGATACTGACAAGTCAAAATTTGATGCACCAGAAATGTGAATTATCCCTTTAAGTAGTGATCCTTTCATCTTAAAGGACTTATCAGTAACTTGTGTAATGTGCAAACCTTCCTGAGATGTAGGAAAACCCAGACTCTAGCACCGCTGACCAAACGCCTTCTGAAAGCATTACAACTACTTATAGCAAGTACTTTTTACATTGTTAGAGCAGGGGAGGAAGAATTGCAACATAGGATATCACCCAAACCTGATCATAAATGCTGTATTTGTGATCTGTCTCCTAATAAAGGCTCCAGAACAAGCTCCCACAGAAATTGCATGACAAGGTGTGACCAGACCTCAATGAAGTTGTTAAAGTGTGTCTACATTTGTATTTTAGTTCAGAGCAGTAGCAGAGTAAGTTCCCCACTTGTCCCCATTTACTATGTGGTTGGTGTGCGTTACAGTGAGCTGTCAGTATGCAGAATCTGAATTTCTTTTGGATGAAGATCTGCTCCAGATGCCCACCTAAAGAACACCAAGACCTCGTTGGGAATAGAAGGCTTCAAACCAGCAGGTTAATGCACTGCCATGAAATTTTATGGCATGCGTGGAAAGTGCATGCACCAGTAAAGTGCTCTTCAACCAGGTTGAGTCATCTTGTGATAACCCTGAATCCTCCTTGTGCTATGTAAAGGCATTTGCACCTTCACAGTTCCTGTCAACTACCAGACCTCAGCTCTGAGAATGGGTCTTCTTTATTCCTCTGAGGCATCCCATCTAGATTTTCATCAATATAAAAAAAAGAGGAAAAATTAAATCAATAGCAGACACAGACATTCTAAAAATCATCAGTTCAAAATTTCAATTATTTTTTCCTTCTTAAAGCATGTTTTCTGAGTTTTCCTTTTCAGTTATGGATTAGGCTTTCCTCCTTTGGTCATTTGACATGAGAAATAATTATGCAAGGACAAAAAAGAAGAAGATAGGAAACAAACAATCTTAATCTTTTTCTGACTAAAAAGCATCTGATCTAATCTGCTTCTGACAATCTTAGTTGCTGACTTTCCTTTTGTTTAATTTAATTTCCCTCAGTTCTTCACACAGCCACATCTTACCTCTTGGAGAGGTTTCAGGACTTCCTGTCTGGGTGTCCTACTTGAAAACCACACAGATAGTAAATAATTTTGTGCAAGAACTGGGGATGGAGGAGTTTCCTATCAGTTCTTAGCAGGCCTTTGGGATTGCCATGGTACAGCAGTCATGTCAGTGCTCATCTTGCCAGGTGGACACATTACTACAAAAGCTAACCAGGGTTAGGGGTTCCCACTGGAAAAAGCACACTTACTACATTGCTATTGACAGATTAAGTATGATTACTAGTATTACAACTAACCAGAATACAGAGAAAAAAAAATCTGATAGGGTAAACCCAACACTTGTGCCTTTTACTTAGCAGTCATTTACAATGAGAAATGTTAATCATGTGCCTCTGAGGAAGAGTTTTACCAATTCTTTGGTTTCACTTTTACTTTTTACTTTACCCATGACAATGTATCTTTAGATTTTTCATTCTTCTTATTTTCCCCATTATTTTCTGTAACTTTATTTTCTGATGGTCTATTTATAAATTTAATCAAACACACATAAATAGTTACTGTGGATAATGCAGTTCAACCTCATCAAGAAACTGCAGGAAACAGTAACATTGTAGTGCACCAGGGTGGAAAGACTTTGTCCTTGGTTTAGCAGTAGCAGTCATTTTTCTCCTTCTTGGTAGCTGGTGCAGTGCTGTTTTGACTTTCGAGCTGGGAACAGAGCTGATAAAAATCATGTTTTGGTCTGGCCAAGGACTTTGTGAGTCTCATGCTCTGCCAGGGAGGAGGGGAAGCTGGGAGGAAGCAGAGACAGGACACCTGACCCAAACTGACCAAAGAGGTATTCCATACCACAGCACGTCATGCCCTGGATGTAACTCGGGAGTTACCCAGAAGGGCAGAGGGGACTGCAGGGTTGGAGGAGGTATCGGTCGGTGCTTGGTCGCGCTGGGGGGGGCGAGTTATCGGTCGCCTGGTGATGAGGTGTTGTATTCTCTTCCCTTGTTATTTCCTTTATCATTACTATTATTGGTGGTAGCAGTAGTGATTTGTGTTATACCTTAGTTACTAAACTGTTCTTATCTCAATCCGTGGGAGTTGCATTCTTTTCGATTCTCCTCTCCGTCCCTCTGGGAATAGGGGGAGGGCAAGAAGGAGGGGAGTGAGTGAAAGAGCTGTCTGGCTGGGTTCAAACCACGACAGACTTTCACTGCTGTTCTGTATAGCTGCTTCTCTGAAATCATTCTTGTTATCCAAAAGTACATGTTAAAATATCATATCAATTTATTATATATGTGTTTATGTCACACTAGCAATTAACCTGTTTACATCTTTAAATTCAACCTTGTACTCAGACTAAGCTCTCCATCTAAATTAACCATCTTTAGGCCTCTTGGCAGCCATTCTGCTTCCTTTAATTCATAATACTTTATTCTAAAACTTCAATAACACTTTATCCAAGAATTTTCAGTTCTCTGAATTGTGTCTAAAAAGTATACTTGTAAATTATTTTTTCGTCTGGCTTTAGAAAGTGATTGAATACACTGTATTTAAGCTTCATATAATACTTTGTGCATTTACCATATAAACACTTGATAAAAGCCCCAGATTTTGGTCATTTGATATAGATTTTCTGTAGAAAATAGAAATAGTGTTCAACATTGTGTTATGTGGGGCAGGCACAAATGAAGAGTACAAGGACATATCATGAGAGGAATAACATGTGCTGAAGCTGTAGGACAGAGCAACAGTTAAGGCCACTTATTCCCCAATGTTATGACCTTTGTCAGTGTTGTTTAACCTTTCCAGCAGATGATATAAGTACGTTTACACCATCACTTCCTGTGAACCTGCTTTCCTGAAAAGGCATGTCTGGCCAAAGGGGCATGCTTTGAGATGCTCTGGCCTGCTGGTTTCAAAGGTTTTGGAGTCTGTAACAAAGGCTATGTTGCAGATGCTTCACCTATGATGCTATTGTCCAGGAAATCATGCAAAATATCCTTTTATGCAGATAAATTTGCTGGAGGGAGGCCTACAGGATGCCTGCAATTGCTGAGATCAAAAGCTTGTCTAAAATGTGGTCCAGGAAAAGATGCATGACTCTGCTAAGATGGAAGAACATGGTATAGCCACAGCACAGCCTGAAACTGGTGTGGCTCCAGGGAAGTCAGTGCCAACTGAATCAGGGCTGAGAGGCATGGAGATGCAGTCATCATCTGTATGTGCAACATTTGCATTGTTAGTGACACAGAAGGCTACTATGACTTGGTGGACTGACTGTAATATCTGTAATTCCCTGGGATTCAGGCTGTGAGGCACAAGTGACCACCGAATACTATCTCTTCCTTCAAGGGAAATAACAGGGGTAAGACTGCTGAGTTACTGACTGTCTTTCCTGGCTCTGTCCAATTAAAGTCTCATTTGTGGTACTGTTATTATTAGATTATTATTTTTTCCCCATTTCATGTAGGTTTTGGGGGCATCGGGGTGTTCAAGTAAAATATTAGAAGACAAATCTAAAGTATACCTCTCAGTAAACAGTACAGGTGCATTAGTCATTCAAATTTGTCAAAATAGACAGGGAGATGACAATCTTTTACAGAAGTTAAATATATGGTCAAGACTGTCTGTAAATTAGCAACCATTCATCTTCATTCTTCAGTGCACTGTGCTATGTTCTACATAAAATTAGACTTCCCTTTCAGAGGCATCCAGCCACTTGATTTACTTTATAAAAAGGTTTCAAGGAGACAAAAATTACAAAGCTTTGCTATACTTTTTTTTCCAATCAAGGGCAAAAAGCATTATTTTGGAGTTTATAATATCTATTTCATGTATATATATTACTCTGGTTGGGTCTGACAAGAAAAGGTCTCTATAAATCAACAATAAAAGAGTGACATTTAGAAACTGCAAATCTGAAAGAGAAATATGTTGCTGTTCCATTAAGGACCAATAATAGCTGCCAACTCTTGCAAAAACTGGAAGATTGCCATTCCACACACTCAGTGTCATACAAGCATTGAAACAACTTATACTGCTGCTAGAAAGATCACTGAAAGTGTCTCTTCTGTCTGTATTTAACTGTGTACATGACCACCAAGACCTTAGGCACTAATCCCTTGAGACCCTTTAGAAATACAAAAGAGATATCAAAGGTAAAAACTGAAAGGAATAAACAAATCATATAGATGAAGCTTGCCCAAATAAATTAGGAAGTCCAGTCCTGAACCAAGTGGCAAAATTTCCATAATGAAGAGGTTGATTGAGTCTTTACATTCACCTGCTTTCATCTGGCCTGGGAATAATTGTCCTTTTCAGTTAGCTGTACATTCAAACTATAAAAGACACTCATGGCTTTGTCGTGACATAGTATTCTTCTCAATATATCCTTTGAGCATTTGGTAAATTTCCGTTTCATTTTTATCATATTGGGCATCTCCTTTATGTAACAGACACGGAGAAACTTGTATTCTGCAATTATATAGATGGCTACATAGAGCAAAATTAAACAGGCAGCAAAATAATCTTTCACTGCTCTCCCTCTCCCGTTTTCTGCTCCCCATGGTGCTTGCGAAAATTATTCAAAACCAAATATTTCCTTGGGTTTCGCTGCTGATCAGACTGTTCCTATCTAAGGAATCCAAACTTGACAGCTGCTTTTGGTGCTATCCCTTCATTTGCTCTCTTGGCAATCTGTTCTGCCTTGTAATATCCTGTGGAAGAAAGAAGGAAGGAAACGAGGGATTACTCATGACTGTGGGCTAGAAAAGCAATAGCAATCGTGAAGTGCTTTTGCATGATCAATTTATTAGGCACTTCTGGTACCAGTTTTAACTTGATTGAAAGTCTGCTTGGGTCAGGTTTTCTCCCAGCCAGTCTTGTGAGACTCTTCTGAAGACAAAAAGGGTGCAGAGACATGATTCTGATTAGAGAGGAGCCCTTTTTTTCTGGACTGCGTTTCTTCCACCCTCACTCAATCCTTACACACAAAAGTGTGCTATGAAAAATAATTGTACATTGAGGTTACAGAAATCTCTTGTTCACCACATTTTCCTTCTCACTAGCACTGGCCAGAGTCTGATAATTCTGTTTAATGACAAATGCAGAGATTTTGATCCTGAAGTGAAATCAAAAGAAATCTGGAGAGATGTTTGGAGTACTGTGGGGGAACAAGAGGTGATCATTAGTGCTATTTGAGCACTGTTATTGACATTGAAACCAGAGAACTCTCTTGGATATCCTATTTAGAATTCATAAGAAAATAAAATAACTTAGCTCTTGCATATAGGAGGGAAGAAGAGGACATGCCTTCTCTCAGAATGTGATATTGATTGCATACCGTCTGCTCCTGGTCCTAGCCTCACACTAACCACTCTGAGACCCATCAGTCTCCTGCTCTCCCCAGTGAAAACTCCTCAGATTTTGGTGAAAAGATTCTTCTCATTTCTGGTTGTTCCTCATGTAATTTATTCCATGCCATATTCTTCTCTGGCACTGGCATGAATGTTGCCAGGTTATTTCTTTGTCATCAGGAAACACAGTCAGTCTTATAAAATCTCAGGCCAACATCCTATTTGCTATTTTTAGCACTGCTATAAAAGAAAAGCACAGAGGAGTTGGTGCTGTCACTTCTGTGAGATTCATGCATGGTCACCAGTTTAGCAACTTTATTTTTACCTACCCAGGGAATCACATGAAATCATGATCAAATTGTTTTTGCTGCCTGTCTCTTAGAGATGAGAGCTCTGTGTTGCAACAGATGCATCAGAAGGAGAGGAAAGAGGGAAGGACAGGTGTGTGCTAAAGGACACAGCCTCATGGGCAACGCTTCATACATGACTTCTTATCCTCAGCTGCCTGGGTGCCCTTCCCCTTCATGATGCTGGGTGCAGATCTGCCCAAATAAAGTTCTTTGTTAGAGGAACCATGCCCAATTTCCACTTTCATGGAGGCTGCTGTGGCTCTATTTGGTACTCAGGCAAAATAAAGAGCCCTTGAAGTGTGTGTGAATGTAAATGACACTCTTTAAGGCTCCTTTACACTGTGTAAAAGGGCTTACAGGTAAACATGCACGAGAGGTAGCTGGTTTCAAATAAATATGGTATAATCTGCAGTAGTGGAAAGTGAAAACTCCTTCCACTGACTTTTATTGCCAAGATTCAGAGTAGTGGAAAAATGGATGATGAAAGTGAGTGGTTTTGTTTCTTTAATGCTTAATAATTTACAGAAAGATGTGCTTAGTGTGATTCAGGGAAGCTTCTTACTGATAATTCTTCAGGCTACCTATCCTTCTGGCCTCCAGACTTTTTTTTTTACTAATGTGAGTTGTTTGTGTTTTTTTTAACTTACTAATGTGAGTTTTTTTTACTAATGTGAGTTTTATTAACGTGAGTTCAACAACTAAGGCTGTAGGCACAAATTCTGCTCAAAATGAAAGTGCTTCCTTTCCAGGATGAGAAGTTAAGCCAGACAGTGCCGCAGAGGAGCCATCTGATCACTGACCTGTGTAGCTTCTGGTATATGAACTCAGGACTCACTTTCCATCCTCAGCAGCAGCAGCACTCCATCAGGCATTCCCAGAGTAACAGCCTAACGAAAGCCGCCTGTTTCTCTTAGGAGTAGCCACAACTCTCCAGCAGTGTGTCCTCAGCATCTTTACCCTGGCTGGGATATTCAGCAGCTTGGTACTGCTGCACCTGTGGTATTTCCAAGCAGGTTTGTCTGTGTGCTGACCTTGGTAATGTTTCTGTGGATGCCTCTGGCATGGTGCTGCTCCCCACTAGGGGGGGGGTCTGTCCTCATCCTGGGGCCGCATTCATATATGAGCCTATGGTTTTAGAAACATCTCTTATAACAGAGACTCTTTTCAACTCAGAGATTTTGTTTCTGCATTTTTGCTATAAAACTTTTATATCGTGGTGCATGGACATTGTTGCAATCATTGTTATGTTCCTCCTGTGCGTGTTCTTCCTCAGAGCATCTTCCCACTGAGGTATTTTGTGAAAACTGTCCAAGTTGTTAGTGTGACTGTTCCAGTTCAGTGATAAATCACACACTTTCTGGGACAGAAAGATCCTTTTCTAAAATATCTAGGAGATTTCTTTTTATCTGTATTAAGTAGCTGTGGGTAGCATTTACCTTGTCCCTAGCTCAAAGACATCTAACTTCTGTCAGGTTTTTTTGTTTAACTATTTCACTTTGGTTTAGATGGATCCTAACTTTGCTTCCTCAGAGTTCACTTTTTAATATCCTCTTCCAGTATTCTGTTGTTCCTAGCTATGTCCATGGAAATAAAATTCCAAATAAAAGTAATCTGGGCTCCAGATGATGCATTTTCTGACCAGTCTGAAAGCTCCATCTCTGCAGGTTTTCTTCTAAAACCTCCCTGTACCTTTGCCAAATTAGCTTCCTTCACAATGTCTTTACAGGCTTTATCTGTCACTAAGTCCTTCTGCTTATCTGGTTCAGCAGTTCTGACCTCAAAATACTGTACTGTACTTCCCATCCATAAGCTCTACCTACAAAACCAGTCAAACATATAGCACCTTGACTGGTAAACTAAATAGCTGTACAAACTGAAAATGGGTTTACACCTACACAATTAAACTGAATGCTTTTTGGCTCACCCTGTGTCCTTGGCAGAACTAGGTTTGAGGCAAACATTTGGAAGCAGTGTAGTAATTCAGGAGATGTAAGATTCCATTTCCCAAGTAAATCCACATCCCACCAGCTCCTTAATTCCTAAACTGCTTTTGAGAACTGGCTTGAAGTCTCCCAAGCCATCTGTTGGACATCTCCACTAGACCCTATGCGCATTATTGTCTAGAGATCCCAAGCTGTTTCAGAGACTGTTGAGGGAAAAAGCTTACACACTGTGGTCTTTATCTTGGCTGATGTAGGAGGCCGAATGCAGAAAGGCCCTCTTTGAAAGTAAACAGCCTTTCTGGGTGAGCAGAACTAGTGATGTCTATCCATGGGAAAAGCAGCTCCTTTTTCCTCTTTCAGACCTTCATCATTTCACCAGTCATATTAGCAACAGTCTATGCAACTTTATTATTCCTTTAGTTTGATTGTTGAGATACATACTTATTCCAAATGGAGATTCATGAGATCATTGCCTTTTTATTTATCTCATCAAATAGATCCAAAGGTGTTCAGTTACATAACGAAATAAGGCTTTTTGTGTGGCTGACTCCCACTTTTCAGCCGTGACACCTTGAGGAGTGTAATCTTCTAATCGACGATGACGGGCACCCAGCAGAATTTTCTAATTAATTTACGATTTTCTTTGGACAGGTAATTTCTGCTGATTGATCTCCATTGGTATCTGCAGGCATCTAGTGAAACACAGGTAGTCGCCACTTTTTTGTTTTACTTGTCATGAAAACATCTTCATTTGGCTACTTTCCCAGTCACAGAAAAGAAACTGAATATAGGAAGGTACCTGTGAATCTTCTTGTTTGTCCTGGGAGGAAACAAAATGTTCCTCCTGCCACCAGCCTGGTTTTTAAATTCTATACCATTTTCCACCTAAATGACTGCAGTGAGTTCAGGGCAGTACACCTAATCCAAAACCAAACATAACTTTGTCTACTAATACATCTACTCACATGTCTCCTCACATAATAAGGTTAGCTTGCTCCCACTGATCCTAGTTATTTTATTTAGCTGATCCTCTCACCTATTAGCTGCTGAATATTCTGCCTGGCATTTTGATTCCATCACACTGAATCAGTAAAGAAAGGGTGAGGCAAGATTAAGGGAGGAGGGACAGAGTTTCAGCTGCATCAATGCTCTTAAAGACAGCAGTAAGTAACCCTCCTGATGTGAGTTCTGGGTGGCTTTTGTGCCCTCTGCTTTAGGGGGTCCAGAGCAGCTGAACTGAGAGAGAAATCCAAGGGTGTTTCTGAAGGACATTGGCTTTCTGCATCTCCCTGCCCTTCTGTCAGCACAGAAGTAGGTAGAGTCAGTTCTGGGCTGCAGCTGCAAGGCACCCTAAATTAGACACTGAATGAAGGAGAAGGTGGCTGGTGATGCCAGCACTCCACATGCTGTGCTGGGGGAGTCACTGGAAGAGCCCAATCTCTGCATAAGTGACATCCTGGAAGGTTACACTGAGAGCTCTTAGACACAGGGAAGCACTTTCTTCATGAAGACTAAGCCTAAATTTCCTTCCTCCAGGGCAGAATTTAAAGAAACTCATGTATACATAAATTAATTAGGCTGCTGAAGAAGACACAGGAATGGAAAATAAACATCAGTGTGTGCTCTGGCCCTCTTCCTGAGGTTTTCCATTTCCCTGCTAGAGGATGGTGGCAGCTGGCTAGAAGGGCAGCAGGGGGTGAGCACTGGTGATTACCACTACACAGGTACAGGCCTACTATAACCATATAATTTTAAATATATACTGATGGACCTTACATCCTTTTCTTATTCCCATGAAACATTATAATGCAATTGAGTGTGTAGCCAAGAAACTAAAGCCACGCTCTCAGAGAAGAAATACTGAAAAACTCCACAATTAACTTTTAAAGTTTACACAAAACTAAGAGTATTGTTACTGTCAGATGTAGCCCCAGTGCAATGCTTGGTATCTTTACTAGCAATAGAATGATATTTAACATGCTACAAATAATGGAGCAGTCAGCAGGGAGGAATTGTAGTACACAAGAAGAAAATGGACTAGAACTCCCTCCTCAGCATTATAGAAATACATGTTGCAGTATGTCAGTTGGGGATTTTTGTCCCCACCCAGCCATGAAGCGAAGTCTTCCTCTTCCTTTTCTAGTAGTCCTCTGTCTGTGAAAGACTTCACTTCGCTGCATTGCTGAAGGAAACCAGCAGACCCTGAACAAATCTCACTGATTAGCTTCTTATTTGGGAATGTTTTTATGTCTTTTACATTTTCCTGCATTTCTGCTCTGAACAACAATAAAGTTAACCGGACAAGAAAGAACAGTCAACATTCCAGCCACATATTTATGCAAGACTGAAAGAGTTCCCTGAGGAATTATTGAGCATGATCCCAATAAGTACAACAAAGTGATACAACACTGGTCTGGTGAGACCTCATCTGGAATATTGTGTCCAGTTCTGGGCCCCTCAGTTTAAGAAGGACAGGGACCTGCCGGAGAGAGTCCAGCGCAGGGCAATTAAGACGATTAAGGGAGTGGAGCATCTCCCTTATGAGGAAAGACTGAGGGAGCTGGGTCTCTATAGTTTGGAGAAGAGGAGACTGAGGGGTGACCTTATTAGTGTATATAAATATATAAAGGGGGAGTGTCACGAGGATGGAGCCAGGCTCTTCTCAGTGGCAAACAATGATAGGACAAAGGGAAATGGGTACAAACTGGAACACAAGAGGTTCCACTTAAACTTGAGAAGAAACTTCTTCTCAGTGAGGGTGACGGAACACTGGAACAGGCTGCCCAGGGAGGTTGTGGAATCTCCTTCTTTGGAGACATTCAAGACCCGCCTGGACACGTTCCTGTGTAACCTTATCTAGGTGTTCCTGCTCCGGCAGGGGGACTGGACTAGATGATCTTTTGAGGTCCCTTCCAATCTCTAACATACTGTGATACTGTGATACTGTGAACACAACCTTGGCAAAGAGCACCCTAACTGAGCTGTGTGGATGAACAAGTAGATATCTAACAAGAAAGCAAAACTGTGATCTGTATAATTTCAAAATGCAATGTTATCCATTATCCTAACAGTTGTAGTTTAGTATTCCTCTTGTTTAACTCAATTAGCCTAACCTGTGAATAGGTGGGTCAAAGCCCCAAAAAGTTGGACCCACAGGTTTCTTCAAAATCCTACCCATACTGATTATGTTCTTCACTCTCCTTTTTGTACAGAACAGGATTTGTTTTTCTCTACTGTAAGGTAGCATTTGTGATGTTCAACATGAATCACAAGTATGGAAGCAGTTAGCCTGTTAATTACAATTGGATAAAGTCACCATTTCCTTTGTAATCTAACTTCTTTCTTAACATGGTTAAACTAACCACTGGTCAAGTACTGGCATGAATCCACTATCCAAGTAAGTGCAACACATTGGGGAGTGGAGAGGAGAAGGAGAAAGAAGGCAAGGAGAAAAGTTTTGCAACAAAAGCCAGGTTTGAAGCAATTTATGATTTAGCTCACTCATGGTGTGCCTTGTCTTTAAAGTAAATGCTTTCTGTACACTCAGACTAACAGGCACCTCCCTCAGGCTTCAGCCTACGTCGGCATTCAGCTCTGTCACCTCCATCAAAAGACTTTCTCATTAGTTTGTTGATCCCTGTTGGCTCATGTTCTGACTACACAGCATGTCAGCGAGGGAACTGCAGGCATCTTGTAAGAGCTTTTAGGAGTTTAGTGTGGTTTTGCTCTGAAGAACATGTGTAAATTATAACAAGCAGTGATTAGCATTTTCAGGATCCAAAACATGAATTTTTATATAAAATATCTAATATAGTACAGTAACTCAATAGACACAAACCCTTATGTTCTGTACTAGTGGTTTTCCTTTGCCTTCTGTGTGTGTACCCGTGTTTCTCCTTTTATTCTGCACATACACACACATTCAGATGCATATGCTCACTGATACTTACCATCCACTTTGAAACAGCCATATCAAAGCCTAAAGAACTTTTTAATAGTATGGCTATCCATATCAGTGATCAGAGCATTTTGTAAACAATTCTGATCTCTCAGCATAGAAATACTCCTTCAGCGTTCTACTAGTATCACCTTTGCTAAGCCAAATGAGGGTTTTATAAATAATATTCCAATAACATATGACACTACAAGGTACCTAATATTATGTAGCTTCACAGTTAATAAACTCCTAGTACAACATGGCTATAATATGCAGCTGATCACAGTACAGCAAAACCCAAAGATTTCTGCAAAACTGGACATTTTTATCTCCTGTTGGCAATATGATTATGCCTTTTCAATATGCTAATCTGACTCACACAAAGTTAATCTTGCCAAAAGCTTTTAACAAGCTTCTTTAGTCATTTAGAAATATGTCCTGCTAGCTCTGCTTAGGTTATGCAAAACCAACCAATACAGGTTTATTAAAACTTTTACTTCAGAGGTGTTTGTTGCAGATTTTTTAATACAAATTTGCTAAAACTGAAACAGTATAGAAGTTATTATTTACTGCCTGAATAGAACTTTGGGACAACATCTTGCTTAACCTTGTGCATCCCCTAACTGTTCATATGTCTAGCTACTATTTCTACCCTAAATATATCCATCTGAAACAGAATTTTCCCTTAAACATCACATTGCTTTAATTTTTTTCACATGTCCTCCCATTGTGTGGATGCTCTCCTGCCACTGAATGTTCAGTTCTATTAGTTTCTCTTTTCCTGCCTTTCTGCAGCCAGTTGTTCCTTTCTCCATTCCCATGTACTATGACGGATATATATATTGCCTAACAGCACCAGAATTAGTTTTGAGATGGGAAAAGCAGGGTTCCATACAAAAAGGGAGTAAGGAAGCAGAGATCTCTTTTATTGTGTCTTTCTATTTCTCTTGCAATTTCTACTTTTAAAAAAATGGCGCCAGAAAAATTGCAGTAGCAGATTAATCTATTGAAAGAGAGGTTTGCGAGTCAGCCTGCACCATTATTTGTTAGCTCTCAAGATGGAAAATGCATCTTTGGAGAATCTGAGTGAAGTCTTCCATCAATGACCCAGCACTGAAGGAAGTCTGATCCTTGTCTTCCTTTGAAATCCACAAGCAAAATCATTACAGTGTTTGCCATATATTTTCCTTTTCTCCCATCCTCTGATTCTCTAGCTTTCACACTTGCCTTTTTCTCTGACCTCTGCTTCTCTTCTTTGGTCATTATCCTCAAACAAATATTTTTCAAGACTCTTAATTCCTCGCTGCCTATTGAAGAAGATTCCCTTTGCTTTATTGCCCACTGAAAGTCACATTCCCACTTCCCTATTTAGCTTGGGCTGTGCGAGGGGACAGTGCTGTAGATATAAACCTCAGTAGATGTCTTTATTGGAGCAACAAGAGTCACCTGCTGAGAAACAGATTTCTTAATGGCTCCACTGGAAATGTGACTGGCCTCTCTGCAGGAAGTCTTATTTATGCTGGTCATGTCTCCAGGATGTACAAATCAGGCCACAGACTTTTGTAAAACAAGTAAGGATGTTTGTGATCAGATGCTTGGATTTAAAAAGGAACCTTTTGATATTATCTGCAGAAAACATGCATTCCACTTGAGAATGCATACAGCATGCCCAGTTGTGGCAGTGAGCAAGATTCCTGGTATTGCTTGATTTTGAAGGCTACATTTGAAGCTGCATATTGATTTCTCTCATTTCCTGTGAATTCCACTTG